CCATCTCGGACTTCATCTCGGGTCCATCTCAGACTCCATCTCGGACTCCATCTCGGGTCCATCTCGGACTCCATCTTGGACTCCATCTCGGACTCCATCTTGGATTCCATCTCGGGTCCATCTCAGACTCCATCTCAGGTCCATCTCAGGTCAATCTCGGACTCCATCTCGGATCCTCTTGTGTCCCTTTTCTAGAGACTCACTTATTGCTCACTTCGTGCTTGTTCCTCGAGCACTTTGTTGGGAGTTCCACTCCTGCTCTCAACCTTTCAAGTCGGAGCTTTTAGTCCAAATGTGTTACGCTCGTTTGGCTTTCGCTTCAGCCACTACCACGTGGCACCCTTCCGACTCCACTTTGGGGCCTAGGGATTTTGTGTCTCACAGACACATGAAGGTGTCGAGATAAAGTCCAAGATGGAGTCTGAGAAGGAGTCCAAGATGGACTTGAGAAGGAGTCTAAGATGGAGTCTGAGATGGAGTCCAAAATGAGTTTGAGATGGAGTCCGAAATGGACCTAGGATGGAGTCTGAGATGGACTTGAAATGGAGAGTTATAGATAGACCCAAGATGGAGTCTGAGATGGAATCCGAGAAGGACCCGAGATGGAGTCCAAGATGGATCTGAGATGGAGTCCAAGATGGAGTTTGAGATGGACCCGAGATGGAGTCTGAGATGGAGTCTGAGAAGGACCCGAGATGGAGTCCAAGAGGGACTTGAGATGGAGTCCGAGGTCAAAATCGAGAATGAGATTAAGACTGAGGCTGAGACCGAGACCAAGTCTGAGTCTAAGTCCGAGTCCAAATCTGAGGGTGAAAGCCCAAAGCATCGTCTCCTAGACCCTAGAGGGCTTCGTAAGCTCCAAAAGTATAGTAGGGGGAGGACTCTAGTGGAGCCAATTTGGCTAGGAAAGTCTAATGTGACCAAGGAAGGTTATACCCATTTGTTGAGTGATGATATAACCATTAAGGAGTCCAATGCTAAAGTGAATACAAACAAACAAGCGAGGTAACTTTGTGAATTATTCAAGAGTCGAATCTAGCTTCCCCGGGAGATCAAACAATCAATATTCCCAATCCATCCAAGTAAGTAATACCACCCATATTTACCTAGCGTGGCTCATCGGAACCTCACTCTAGCCACATGGCTAAAGCACCTAAAGGCGAAAGGTGGGGAGAGTATTGTAAGTGACTAAATTTTTCCATTCTACTTTAGTCACTTAACCACACCTTCTACCACTTGGAAGAGTCTCATTCACAACCTCCATAAGTCCCACTCAAGGCTTGGGGCTTGCTAGCCCTGAGAATGGCATCCATGCCACTCAACCTTTGCACTTGGTCCCAGTGCTCCACGTGTCCAGTCCCATGACCAACACCCCAAAGCACCACCAACATACCAGCCTATTACGCTAGGCCATGTCCAATCACCTTGGTCACATCGGTGGTCCAACACCACCTGCATTCCAATCCCGTCTCTTCAAGACTAGGCCATCCGTCCGTGAGTGGTCATCCCAGATTCACTCTTTAGCATCCTTAGGATGCCTACAGACATGGGGAATAGCCTTCCTCAATATCTCCTTTCTGGTCCCCACCAAGTCCCTTTCTGTCCTTGGCCGTGTTCGCCAACACTGCCACTGGATCAGGGCCCACAGGCCCGGCCACTAAGTCCCATGGTCCTCTGGGACTTCCTCACCGCACGACTGTATCCTTGGTCACTATACTAGAGGACTATTCCTCTTCCTTTCCATAGTTTGGGCCTTTGTGACAACATTTCGGAACACTGTGGCCTTACGCAAGCCTCGTGGGTACTCTCCCCACCTTCTGCCTTTGGGTGCTTTAGCCATGGGCTTAGAGCGAAGTTCCGTTGAGCCACACCAGGTATCCAAGTAGGTAGTGCCACCTACACTTGGACTGGGAGCATCGGCTAATCGATCTCCCGGGGGAACTAAAGCCGGCTCTTGAACACTTCACCAAGCTACCCTGCTTGTTGGTCCGTATTCACTTTAGTCTTGGACTTCCCAGTGGTCAGTTCATCACCCAACACTGGGTCTGGCCTTCCTGGGCCAAATTGGCCTTTCCTGGCCAAACTGGCTCCACTACAGTCCTCCCCCTTACTATACTTTTGGAGCTCACCAAAACCCCCAGGGTCTGGGAGACGAACGCTTTGGGCTTTCACCCTCTCAAACTCGAACTCGAACTCGGACTCGGACTCGGACTCGGTCGGACTCGGACTCGGACTTGGGCTCGGGCTTGGTCTCGGCCTCGACCTCGGTCTCGGTCTCGGTCCCAGTCCCGATCTCGGTCTCAGTCTTGGTCTCAGTCTCAGTCCCAGTCTCGGTCTTGACCTTGGACTCCATCTCGGGTCCTTCTCGAACTCCATCTCAGATTCCATCTCGGGTCCATCTCGGACTCCATCTCAGACTCCCTCTCGGACTCCCTCTCGGACTCCATCTCGAGTCCATCTTGGACTCCATCTCGGGTCCATCTCGGACTCCATCTCGGGTCCATCTCGGACTCCATCTCGGTCCATCTCGGACTCCACCTCGGACTCCAACTCGGGTCCATCTCGGGTCCATCTCGGACTCCATCTCAGACTCCATCTCAGACTCCATCTTGGACTCCAACTCGGACTCCAACTCGGGTCCATCTCAAATTCCATCTCAGACTCCACCTCAGACTCCAACTCGGGTCCATCTCGGACTCCATCTTAGGTCCATCTCGGACACTTCCACGTGTCATGTGTTGGTCCTTTTGGGTCCCTTTTTGGAGCCTCACTTATTGTTCTCTTCATGCTCGTTCCTTGAGCACTCCGTTGGGAGTTCCACTCCCACTCTCAACCTTGCAAGTCGGAGCCTTTTAGTCCAAATGTGTTACGCTTGTTTGGCTTTTGCTTCGGCCACTACCACGTGGCACCCTTTCGGCTCCACTTTGGGGCTTAGGGATTTGTGTCTCATAAGTACCCACAAGGCTTGCATAAGGCCACAGTGTTTTGAAATGTTATCCTAAAGTCCTAAAGTGTGGAAAAGAAGAGGAATAATTTTCTAGTGTAATGACTAAGGATATGATCATATGATGAGGAATTCCTAGAGGATAGTGGGATTTAATGGTCGGGCCTTTGGGCCTTGACCCAGTGGTGGTGTTAGTAATCACAACCATGGATAAAGAGGGATTTGGTGGGGACAAAAGAAGCAACATTAAGGAAAGGTCTTCCCCATATCTTCGAGCACTCTAAGGGTGCTAAGGTGTGGTTAAGGGATGATCATTCATGGATGGATAACCCAGTCTTTGGGAGATGGGATTGTGACGCAAGTGGTGTTAGACTACTAGTGTGATAAAGGTAAATGGGCATAGATTTAATGTAATGGGTTGATATATTAGTGGTACCTTTGAGTGTTAATCACGAGATCGGATATGTAGAGCACTTGGACCAAGTGCAAAAGTTGAGTGGCATAAATGCCATTCTTGGGGCCAACAAGTTCTTAAGTTTGGAATAGAATTTATAGAGGTTGTGAGTGAAATTCCTCCATGTGGTCAAAGATGTGATTATATGACTAAAGTAAAATAAAAAATATAGTCACTTACAGGCATCTTCTTTTCTAAGTTGGTGAATAGTCTTGGGATACTTGGGGTTAAGCATCATTAGGTTTAAGTAATATTAATATGGGTAACCTTTTAGAAAGTTTAAATTCAAGAGTTTATATTTGGTGACTCTAATAGTTAGCTAGGTTAATCATATTATATATTGGTTATCACACCATATATTAAGATTATTGAGGAAAAAAATTATAGAACACAAAAAGATCTAAAAAGGAATTTTTAGCAATTTATAAACAACAAAAAAGAATGACTCAAAAGACAATTTATAAGAATTCAAATATAAAAGAAAAGAGCCTATGAATAAAAGTGCACTTTTGTTTTCAATCAATTAAGGGATATTTAAGGTTACTCTAAATTCATGAGTTTACATTTGGTGTTTAATTTGGAAGCTCATATTTGGTGTCCATAAACTTCTTAGTAGCAATGGTACACAAAAGCTCTTAAGTACATAAAAACCTTAATAATGACACTCATAAATAAAGACACACATTTAACTTGAAACTCTGGCCAAAGTGACACCAAAATTGATTAAAAGACTCTACCAACAAAACAAAAACAAGATTTTTAACTTCATGCATATACTCAACATCTAAATTAGTATGAAGAGGATAAAAATAGCCAACCTAAAATTATAAAAATCATAAATGATCGAAGAAAAGGAAATATTGCAGATGAAAAAAATAATTAGATGGTAAATTGAAGGATTAACATTCTCCAAAAACCACACTACATCATCCATAACTTGCTAATCAATGTCAAATTATATTCCACATTAATAGAAGATGGCAAAACACCAAGAACAAAAAAAAGTATTTAATCACATCTCACATAAACACAATAATATAATTCTACCCCACAACACTAAAAGCTTGATCCAGTAAAGCAACATTAATGACATACTCCTTGATCAATGATAGTGTGGTATGGTAAAAAAAGGGAATGCAATAAAGATCAAAAGGAAGAACAAATTTAAACATAGTAATAGCTAAATTCTTGATCTTGCAAAAACTAATATAAATTTAAATCTAAAAGAGAAAGAAAGGAATAAGAACTAAAGCATGATCCCAAACATGAAAGCAAAACATTACTAAAATGCTTTACCCTCTAGGGATAAATTATAATGCCCTTCTCCTCCACTAATTCATGATATATATTAATTGGGGTTTAGACTATTGTTTATATACAAAAATGGATGGATCAAATTTAATCCCATGTTATATACATACATACATACATACATACATATATATATATATATATATATATATATATATATATATATTACAAACCTTACAATATTAATTAATAAAAAAATTATTATTTAGGATTATTTTTACATAGCAAAGTAAATTTGCCTAGCAGAGTTTTGTAGGCAGATGACACGTGGAAAATCACTATTCCAAGCTAGAAACAATAAGTGCAATTTCTTATGTTATTACCTTCCCACACCGGCCCCAAAGGAAATGGCGGGAAGTCACACCACAATCGTGGCAAATGGCAAGAGGGGTTTAGAGGTTTGTTTACAAGCTCGAGAGCTCGGGCAAAATTCCTTCCTTGGTTGCCATCTCGTAAATGGCAATGGCCGCAAGAGCTTTGGCGTCGGCAGTGTACCTCCATAGCTTTCGATACGGCGCCACATGAACCTTGATGAGCTCGCCATGCTCAACCAGGCCTTGCTCTTGTCCTTGAAGCGCCGAGAGAGCCTGCGTGAAAAGAGTATTAAATTCTTATTCTTCGATGGTCGTGGTACCTCTGGATTTATGTGACCTCTGTACAGTAACAGTGTTATTTCTTCATCGGAGCCCCCCTGGAGGAAGGACACAGGAATAAAAAACCAAGCACTATAAACGAAAACATTTTACCGGTGATGGGAACATCTTCTGTCCTGTTTCCTTGTCGAGGAGTGCGGTTAGATCGATCAAATCGGAGGTTTTTATGTGAATTCCTGTCTCCTCCTCAATCTGTAACCGCAAAGATGAGATGGAAACGAAATGCAGGCACAGATACCTCTCTCGCAGCCGTTCCAACAAAATCTCCTGCGTCGTCATCTAACATTCCTGCTGGTAATTCCAGGATCACACGACCCACTGGAACTCTAGCCTGAGATTTGTTTTTTTTCCATGAGATAGCAGCGAATGAAACAGAAACTTCTTACTTGCTCGGTGAGAACGACATGTTTCTCCCCTGCGCACTCCAGCAGCATGAGTACAGCCACAGCTCCACCTCGACCAAAAACAACCCCAGGAAGCTGTATAGTTTTTAATCAGCAGAAAGAAAGAAAGAAAACACGGCAAGAGATACCTTTGCTCCAGTTTTCTCGTCCACGATGTCCGCTTTGAATTTCACAAATCCCACACGCTTTCCAAACATATCTACGCTCTGCATCCGTCACGTTTAGATCTCAGCTGTTTCCGTGGCAATGAAGTATTTTAGCTCACCTGGATGGTTATTCCTTGAAGAGAGCATCGAGTACCTCGTTCGTCACTCAAGGAGAGAATGCCTGCCGGACCAGTGATCGTCTTAAGCCACCGTTGGAATGGGATAGATTCCACTGCCGCGCTATATCGTATCATCGGATCAGCGCTACAACATAGAGATGGAAATATTTTACCTGACTACACTCTCTGGCATTGCAGAAATTCCCGCGACCGAGACGCGCTTTCCCAGAACCTCAATCTCCACGGAAGCCACATCCACTGTAGGAATCCCCTGAGAGCTCATCGCCGCTCGAATCCTTGTCGTCGAGAAGAACTTCCTGTCGAATCCAGCCAGCTTTTGGTGCTGCGAGTACGTTCTAGCGATAGCTACGCACGCCTGGCCTGGACAGAGATTGAGATAATTCTCCTCAGATCACGATGAGCTTACCACGATCAAGGCCGGGCGAAGGCGCAGCGCCATCACTTGGAGCGAATGCCCTAGTAGACTAGGTTTGAGGTTCGAATCCAGTTTATACCAATCAACGGTCACTTTTAATTCTCCCGCGCTCCCAAATATCTCTGGGGGAAGGGATTCGAGCCTGCGACTCTCTGCCGTTATGTACTCTCTCAGTTAGGCGAGGAGCTGGCTGTGTGGTAGTACCCTAGGCGGCAAAGCCAGCGCCTGTCTTTCTCCTCGGTCCTGTGGCCGGGCTCTGGATCTGAGGCACGATCGGTCGATTCGCGTTGCGGCGAGGTAAGATTTTGCCAATGGCACTGTTGTGCGAGTCTCGGAGATCCAGGATTTGTGCAGGCATCGGCGTTCTTGAAATGGTGTGTTCTTGAATCCTGATCGACGCGGCATGGATTCGGCGGAGGTGAAAGACGATGCGGCGGCGGGGTCGGCGGCAGCGCCAGCGCAAGATGAGAAGACAGAGGTCGCCAAGGACTTTTTCGTGGCCGAGGGAGAATCCGCGGGGGATGCTGGCTCGAAGAACGAAGAGGAGGGCACTCTGAAAGATTTGCCGGAAGAAGAGCTGGATTCTCGGAAGGAGGAGGTGAATCTTTCGGAATCGTTGGAAGGGGTCGCTGATGAAAAGAAGGGAGGGGTGGATTGGCCGGAAAAAGCTGCCGCCTTGAAGAATTTCGTCAAAGAAAGAGGGATCGTCGTCTCCAAGGTGATCCGGAGGTTGTCCGGGAAGAAAGAAGATCTGGAACAGGCAGTGGAGACACATAGTAGCGAGGACCCAGTGAAGCCGGACGAGAAGAAACAACGGTGGCCCACGCTAAGCTTTCTCAAGCCCAACGTTCCGAATGAGCAAGAGCCAATGGGGAAATCTATCAGTGAATTCGAGGATGAGATGAGCGTGACGGGGAGAATTACGCTCTTTTCCAAGTCAGGTTGCCCGGACTCCAAGGCTGTCCGATCGTTCCTGAGGACAAAGCACCTCCCGTTCGTAGAGATCAACCTGGATTTGTTCCCTCAGCGAGGCTTGGATCTGGAGGAGAGGACTGGAACATCGTCTGTTCCACAGCTTTTCTTCAACGACGAGCTTGTGGGTGGTATGGAGGAGCTCAATCTGTTGCAGCAAAACGGAGAGCTCGATGAGAAAATCCAAAAGGTGAAGGAGAATCCATGCCCAGAATCGGCTCCAGGTCTTCCGGTTCACTCTGAAGAGGAATCGGAAAATGCGGTTCCAGACGAGTTTGCGGAGGTTGTCCAGAAACTCAGAGAGAAGGTCCAGCTCAAAGACAGGTTCCTCAAGCTTCGTCTCTACAGCAAATGCTTTCTAGGCTCGGATGCAGTGGAGGTTTTTGCGGAAGATCAGTACTGTGAAAAAGACGAGGTTCGTGTGTTCTTCATTAGATTTCTAGTCGTTGCTTACCTATATATATGTTTTGCAGGCTGTTGAATTTGGAAGGAAAGTTGCAGCAAAACACTTCTTCCATCACGTTGCACAGTACGTCTCTGTGACTTTGTTTTCTCTTTCTTTTTCTCCTTATTCTTTTTTTTTTTTTAGTGAGAACTTGTTTGAGGATGGTAACAACTTGTACCGCTTCTTCGAACATGATCCTGCTATTGCTACCAAGTGCCTCAACTTTTTCGGTGCCACAAACGACTTGGAACCGAAACCAGCTGCCGACGTTGCCAAGAAGCTCATGACTCTGATCCTTGCAACCTATGATCGTTACATCTCCGACGATGGAAAGCATGTCAACTACTATGCTATCGCGACAAGTGAAGAGTTCCGAAGGTTGGCTGGTTTTGCCGAGAAAAGTTTCTTTATGCTAACGAGATTTCTTGCGTTTTATAGATATGTGAAACTGACTGAAGAGCTTCACCGGATCGATTTAACAACGCTTACCAGAGAAGAGAAGCTGTCCTTCTTCCTGAACATTCACAATGCGATGGTCATCCATTCCTTCATCCTGTATGGCCGTCCCAATGGAGCGCTGGAAAGACGAACTTACTTCGCAGAAATCCAGTACGTGATTGGCGGGTATGCATACTCTCTTTCGGCGATTCAGAACGGGATTCTTCGTGCGAATCAGAGACCGCCATACACACTGACCAAAATCTTTGGCGCAAAAGACCCGCGTCTCCAGGTAACTCCAGCTGATTCTTCTGCGATCGAAGCTTACTCGTATCAACAGGTCGGACTGGAAAAGCCAGAACCACTGATCCACTTTGCACTCTCGTATGGAACCCAGGGCAGCCCAGCGATCCGGTGCTACTCCCCGGAAGGAATCGACGCGGAGCTGCGGATCGCCGCGCGAGACTTCTTTGACAGCGGTGGGATCACGATCGACTCGGAAGCTAGGACCATGTCCCTCAGCAAGATCATGAAGTGGTAACTGGGAAAACTTGTATCGATTTCCATTTCACTCACTCTCCATCCGCTCCAGGTATAGCAGCGATTTCGGGAAGAACGAGAGGGAAGTGCTGCACTGGATCGCCAAGCACATCAATCCGACCAAAGCCGAGCACCTCCTCAGCCTGCTCGAGGATTCCAACGTCCGAGTGAACTACTTTCCATTCGACTGGTCTCCAAACATCTAGGAGGAGAAAGCGAGCTGGTGGAGTGTTTCTTTCAAGTAAGAAATCGTCCCATGCAATGTCGTTAGAGCGATTTTTGTTAGCTAGAAATAAATGTATGTCCGAAGTTAACGACACTATGTCCTATGGTTAAAAATTATCATTTTCTCTTTTTGGTGGTTTGTATCTGCGGGGCGGTGGAATGGAGAATGGAAGAGGCTTCAAGGGCTAGGGCGGCGCTGATCGGCAATGGCGAGCTCCGCGATCAGCCGCGAGGTAGGCTCCTGTAATCTTTGCTTGCGCACTCGATCCATCATCGCGGCGCAGCTTCTGGCGCGTTCTTGGATGATGATCATCGATCGCCGTGAATGACCTAGAATCTTTGTCTCGGTTTCTTGCTCCAGCTAGGGATGCGCTTGCTTTGCTCGCCTGGATCGTCCAGCATTTTCGTCCGAGCTGCCAGGTGTAGTGGGCCTTCTTTTTTCTTCTCACTTTTTCTACTTTCTTTGTGGCAGTGTCGCGTTTGGGCTTGGATTTCCTTTCTACCTGAGCTTCAAAGCGCTCGAGAAGAAGTGTCAAGAGGATCAAGAGCAATGGCTTGTTTACTGGTCAGGTATGAATCGTGAGCGAAATAAAAAAGGAAAGGAAGTCTATATCGTCTTGCTCTGGCATGATTTAAATCTTTGTTCTGACTCGCAGTGTACGCGTGCTTCAATCTCGTGGAGAAGTTTACAGACAAGCTGATATCATGGTACTTTTTTTTTTCTCTGGATATTTACGAGTTCTCGATTCTTTCCAGGTTTCCCTTCTACCATCATGCAAAGCTCGCATTCCTGATGTGGCTCCAGCTACCAAACAACTATGTAAGCTCTGGTGTTCGCAGTTTTCGTGCCCTTCCCTGCGTGATCTCATGTCGAAATGGTTTTGGCAGGGCGTAAGGTATCTGTACTTCAACTACGTGCGCCACTTCCTTGTCAAGCACCAAGCTCGATTGGACCGAATTGTTGATGCCAGCAGGAACGACATGGTTAGTGCGTGCGTGCGTGCGACAAAGATTAGAAAAAGAAAACCAGAGAGGAAGGAAAACAAAGCTTTCAAGCCGCGCTTTGTCTGACACTGCTGTGTGATGGTGTGTGCGACAGAACAATTTCGTGACTGCACACCACAAGGAGATTCAAGCGATTGGAAATGTCGTGCACAAGTTCGTCGTGTCTGGTAATGCTCTTATGTCGGTCTTTCATGGCTCGTTTTAACATCTGTGGCTCCTCAGCCTACCGGACTGTAGAGGAAACCGTGCGTTCCACACTCTACACTCAGTCGGACAGGTCTCTGCCCGAGGACGATCCCTGTGAAGGACGTGCTTGACTCCCCAGCAATTTTGGTTAATTCTAAATCTTTTTAACTTTTTCTTATAACCTCTTTCGCCTACGGCTAATGTAGCTTATGACCAAGAACAAAGAAATCGAATCGTATGCCTCGCTGCTAAAGTCACCCGTCACCTCTCATAGCTCCGCGATTTCCATGTCCAGCGCTGCGAGATCTTTCCGGGCATCCTGAAGCGTTTTGGCGACCGGCCGAGACAGTGATCAAAATGCTTTTTTTATGATAGCTAGTATAATATTCGGGCTGTACATTTCTCAACAAGCTAAGCTGTAGCATTCGTGCCGAAGAAGCTAATGTTTGCAGAAACGAAAAAGACATACACTAATCACAAAAATACAGAGAAATTAAATATTACCTCCTCAGATGGAGGACCATCATCAAACTCATGGGGCAGACATGGGTGGCGAGGGACGGGAGATGGAGAAAAAGAATGAGGACTGGGACGAGAAGGATAGCGGCGCTGGAAGTCCTTTCCAGTTGATTGCATGTGGAATCATATCCAGTGGAGAATTCCTGAAGATACAAAACAATTAGACAAGCGAAACAACGAAAGGAAAAAACAAATTCCCTGCCAACATAATAGTATTGTGGCCTCTTGAATGTTGGCTTCTTGCCATGGGGCAAGCATTGTAAAAGCTGTTTTCGTCCAGCATAGGCTTTCTGTGCCTCCTCCAGCCGGCTTTCCCTTGAGGTAAGCAGGAAATTCTAAAACATCTGGCAAGTCCTGGTACAATATTATATGCACAAAGCTCACGTTATCACTAGAATGTGATAATCCAAAACCAAAATTGATATGGTATGTACTTGTTTAATTGCGACGACCACTTTCATCCAAAAAGAAATATCATGGCAGCACGATCTACGTGTTAAATCGCGGTATATGGTGATCCACCAAGAGTTTCTCTTCTTTGTAGATTTCTCGCCATTTTTGCCCGCAGCCTTGTTCTTTGTGATCTTGCTCTTAGCAATGACTACCATTTGTGCAAGCCAAATTAACCATCGACGCCTTCGTCTTCAGCGGTGTGCTCAATTACCATCTAATTTCAAATTTGTCTGTGGTCACCGATGACGTTGGGCGTGCACTCCGTGGAAAAGACGTATACAAACTGGGGATGTGTGAGAGGAGGGATGAGTCCGCGCTCCACAAAGCCAAGCTGGGCGAAAGGGTGTGGCGAGAGTGACGCTCGCCCCAGAAGTGCTGCTCCAGTGTGCTCCAGCTCGGATATTGTTTCATCTGAGTTGGTCTTAGCTGCTCTTGATGGCTTCTTCGATGCCCGTTGGCTGTTGCCTGGCTGGTTTCCATGGTTGCAGGCCAAGAGCTACATCACTGCACCGAGGACAGAAAGAGATCGCTTCTCCGCCACCAATCAGAATCATCTCGTCTACATCTCCTCAATGACACGGGCAGGGACTCTTTCATCTACACCAGCGTTGGAGACGCCCCACACATCACTTACGGTCGTGCTAAGTGCTATGGCAACTGCGGTAATCGGTCTCGTTGAGGCCAGAAACACCATAAAAAAACGCCGTTTCACGGGCTCTGGGTGCTTGCCTCTGCACCGATGCTTCCTACTTGCACTACGAGAATTACAGTTTCTAGACAGAATCCTGCAGTGTCAAACCGATAAAACCGATACAAGTAAGAAACCGTACAAGCCAAGAAGCATGAGACCGACCGATGTACGAAGTATTTGCTGAAACAGCTACTTCATGAGTTTTTGTGGAAGATATTAGAATTTAAGATACACTGTTCTTGCAGAGATTAGAGAGCAAGACGTAGAGCGAGCCTTCACTTGGATCCAGCTCAAATGCACGAGCCGCAGCTCCTCCAACCTCCCAGGAGCTCTTGCATGATCCCACCAAGATCATCCACGCCAGAGAGTCCGGGTAAAACGGCATGCTGCGAATCAGCTCTCGAGCCTCATCCTCTCGCCCCGCTCGACACAAGAGATCGGCGACACACTTGTAGTGTTCCATCGTCGCCCGGATGCCATGCTCCGCCACCAGAAACACAAAGCAGCTCAGTCCCTCCGCTACGAGCCCGCCATGGCTGTACGCGAGCAGCACACACACCGTTGTGACATCGTCGGCCTCGATCCCGTGTTGCTGCATTTCCTGAAAGATCTGCAAAGTTTGCTGTGGGGGAGCATTCCGGGCATAGGCTGTGATGAGCGTGTTCCAAGTGATTGTGTTCTTCACCGCCATCTTTTCGAAGAAGCCCCTCGCTCGATCCAGTCGACCACACTTGCTGTACATGTTTATCAAGGCTGATCCCACCACGACATCGCAATCGAGGCCCTCATCCGCGGCGCAGCGATGGATTGCCTCCCCATCTCGCAGCGATGGAATCCCTGCGCATGCATCCACTGCGGTGGCAAAGGTGATCTCTTCCGCTCTCACGCCCTCCAGATCCATTTCCCGGAACACGCACAGAGCTTCTTTGCTATGCCCGTTCTGGGTATACGCAGAGATCATCGAGTTCCACGAGAAAACACCCTTCACTGGCATTTGATCGAAAAGGTTTCTCGCATCAACGCATTTTTCGTTGCTTCCATATGCCGAAATCATGGAATTCCAGGAGATCGCGTCCCAGAAGGGCATCCTTTCAAACGCTTGTCTCGCAGAGTGGATATGCCCACTCGCGGCATATGCTCGAAGCAAGGCATTCCACGACGCGGAGCTTCTTCCCGGACATTGACCAAAGACGAGCTTTGCGGAGGATGGGTCCTCGCCGGCCTGGAACTGGATCAACATATTCCAGCTCATGGAGTTGTGCTGTGGCATTTGATTGAAAACGAGGTGGGTTTCGGGGCAAGAGGACGCGATCAGCGCATTCCACGACACCACATTCCTCTCGGGCATCTCATCAAACACTGCTCTCGCGTTCCTCGAATCGCTGTGCTGTGCAAACGCAGTGATCATCGTGTTCCAGGACACGACATTCTTGTGGATCATCCTTCCAAACAACTCTCTCGCGGCATCAAGATCTCCAGTTGCGGCAATCACCGCGTTCTTCGCAGTGACATCCACCTCCGGCATTCGATCCAAAAACTCCATCCCTCGCTCAAGCTGACCATTGTCGAGGAAGACTTGGAGCATCGAATTCCACGCAAAGAGGTCGTGCTGAGGCATTCTCTCGAAAGATTCCAGCGCATCAGAAAGATTCGCCGCGGCACCATAGCCAACCACAAGCCCCGACCACGAAATCACGTCCCTCTGTAGCATCTCGTCAAACGAGCTCCTTGATTCCAGGATATCCCCAGCGCGAGAATATGCTTGGATCAAGAGATTCCATGGCACCGTGGACCACTGTGGGAACCTGTGTAGCAAGAGCTTTGCACCCTCGAGAATATCATCCTGGGTATATGCCTGGAGCATGGACGTCCAAGATACCACGTTGCGTTGCCTCATGGCGTGGAAGATTCCCTCCGCGGCTGACACGTTTCCACACTGGGTATATGCCTGGACCATAGCGTTCCAGGGGAGAATATCCCACTGTGGCATCTTGTCAAGTGTGTGCTGCGCGAGTTCTACATTGCCACTCGCGATGCACGCTTGGATCGTTGAGTTCCAACTCACGAGATCTCTTTGTGGCATCTGGGCGAAGAATGTGTGATCCACTCCAACGCCAATCACTGTGTTGAGCGAGATGATGTTCCACTGGGGCATCTTATGAAAGAGCGGCCAAGGATCACAGCAACATTGGATGAATCCCGCAAGTAGGCAATTCCATGAGAATAGATTGTGCTGCGACAATCGATCAAAGATGTTCTTGGCGGATTTGACGTCGCCTTGCTGTGCCCTTGCCCGGATCATTGCATTGCAAGCGATGGTGCTACTCGACTGGGACGGCATCACATCGAAGAGTGCCATCGCGGCATCCAGATCGCCATTGTGGATGCATCCCAGGATGATCGCACTCCAGCAAGAATCGTCCCATTCCGGCATTCGCCCGAAGGCCTCTCTCGCGTCATCCAGGCGGCCTTGATCATTTGCCAGGGATTGGATCAGGCCTGTCCAGGAGATGATATCGTGCTGTGGCATCTGATCGAAGAGCTCGAGCGCGATTTCTAGATGCCCGTGCTGCGAGAAAGCGAGGCTCATCACATTCCAAGAAGCGGTTGTGAAAGCCGGCATCGCAGCAAAGGTCCGCGCTACCTCCTCCAAATCCCCTCCTTGGGCATTTGCTGACAGAAAGGCAGTCCAGGAGACTATATCCCTGTTGTTCATCTCATAAAACATTGCTATAGCGAGATCAATTTTTCCAGCGTTGGTGTATGCTTGGATCATTGTGTTCCAGGAAACCGTGTCTGGATCGGGCATCAAATCGAAGAGATTTCCAGCTTCTTCCAGATCCCCGTGATGGGCAAGTGCCGAGATCATCGTGTTCCAGGACACGACACTGCGATGCGGCATTGTATCGAAGAAAAACCTCGTGCTGTGTATGTCCTTGCTCTGGACGAACGCCGCGAGCATGATATTCCAGGAGAAGACGTTCTTGTGAGAGATCTCCGAGAAGGCGGCCATGGCGCCGGCCACGCTTCCACAGGCGCCATACATTTGGACGAGGAGATTGCCGAGAAATGTGCCTCGATCGAGAGCTACCCCGGCCCTGGCGATCTGGGAATGGACGCGCTTCGCCGCCACCAGGCATCTCGCGCTCGCGCATTGGCGCACCAGGGAGCGGTAGCCCTGCGCGCCATCGCTGCTGGCCTCTGTGCTGATCCATCGCCTAGCGCATCGATTCCTAGGAAGCATCCAAAGGCATGGCGAGCATTCTTCTTGGTTCTTTGCTCTATGGTTCTTAGGGTTCTTTCATTCCCTATGGATTTTCCATGGTCCCAATGCGTCGATCCCTTGGATCGGCAATGCAGCGGCAGGCGCTCCAGATGCTGGACCTCAATCGGATTGATCTTTCCGGGTTGCGGCTCAATCGCGACACAAGTGTGTGGCTCCTCCGGCAATGCGACGATCTAGAGCAAGGTAGACGGATCCATTCCGAGCTCGCAAGAACAGGGATAGATTCGGAGACGCTTCTGGGAAATACGCTCGTCCAGATGTATGGCAAGTGTGGGAGCTTGGCAGAAGCTCGAGCAGCGTTCGATGGAATCGCGGAGAAGAATGTCTTCTCCTGGAGCATCATCATCGGGCTGTATTCTCGTCACAGGCTCGAGAGAGAGGCGATCGAGCTGTTCCACGCGATGGATGTGAGGCCGAATTGCGTGACTTTCATCAACACTCTGGGAGCTTGCTCCAGTGCCGAGTTTCTAGAGACTGGAAAGAAGATCCACGCCCAGATCGTCGCGGGAGAGGTGGAGCTCGAGCTAAATCTCGCGAATTCCTTGATCAGCATGTACAGCAATTGTGGAAGCTTGGTGGACGCGAAGAGGTTCTTCGATGGGATGAATCGCAGGAATGTTGTCTCATGGAATTGTATCATCGCAGCATTTTCCGGGCACGGGCATTACAGGGAGGCGGTGGACTTGTTCTACGAGATGGAGAAACAAGGATTCAAGCCTGACCGGGTAAGCTTTGTGTCGGTCTTTAGTGCTTGCTCCATTCTAGAGGATTTGTCCCAAGGCAGGAGAATTCACGCTCGGTTTTGTGATGGCAGGATGAAGCTGGATGTTTCAATCGGGAACACGCTCCTCAACATGTACGCCAGGTGTGGGAGCTTGGGTGATGCAAGGTCGGTGTTTGATTCGATTACTTCCAGAAACATAGTCTCATGGACTTCGATGATCGCAGCGTACGCCCAGTTCGATCGCTTTCACGATGCATACGAAGTGTTCCAGAAAATGGGAGTAGCACCGAATGATGTTACGTTCATCACGATCCTCGGGGCCTGCGCTGAAGCCAGAGCTTTGAAGCAAGCCAGAGAGATCCACAGCCTGGTGCTAACGAGTGGGATCCTCGAGAAGCAGCAACTTACAGTGGGAAATAGCTTGATCAACACGTACGCGAAGTGTGGGAGCTTGAGCGACGCAAAAACGGTCTTTGAGAGCATGGCCACCGCGGAGAGGAACGTCGTGACTTGGACGAGCATCATCGCGGCTTGTGGACTCTGTGGACACCCGCGCGAAGCTCTGGCTTTGTTCCATCGCATGGAACTCGAAGGCATACCAGCGAACGAGATTACTTTCGGGACGGTTCTTTCGGCTTGCGCAGACTTGGGAAGCACAAGAGAAGCTCGGTGTCTTCACGGGCTTATCGTCTCAGGTGGCTACGATCGAGACACAGTGGTCTGTAATGGACTGATCAACATGTTCGGCAAATGCGGTATGGTGGAAGATGCAAGAGCCATTTTTGAGAGGATGAGAAGCAGGAATCTCGTCACTTGGACAGGAATGCTAGGAGCTTACATCCAGCAGCAAGAAATCAGACAGGCAGTGTCGCTGTTCCAGCAGATGGAAGTGGAAGGAATCACTCCCAACATAGTTACGATGGTGAGCATCATAGTCGGATGTTCTAGCAGCAACACTCTGGAGCTTGATCCGCTGGAAGCCGCAAAGTCGATCCATCGTTCCTGTATAGTCGGCACCGAGATGGAGGCTGACACTCTGGTGGGAACTGCCGTGGTCGACATGTACGTGAAGTCCGGGGACATGATCCAGGCGAGAGAAGCCTTCGAGAGAATCTCCTACAAGGACGTGATGGCTTGGACTACAATGGTGGCGGCTTACGCTCAGGCTGGCTATGCCGACGAAGCGCTCAAGCTCTACGCGAGAATGGGACTGGAGGGTGTAGCTCCGGACGAGATCACTTTCGTCAACCTCTTGCACGCCTGCTCGAGAATGGGGGCGAAGAAAGAAGGCTGGACGATTCACTCCCACATCCTCGAGCGTGGTCTTCCGAGCTCCAGAGTTTTGGGAAACGGGCTGGTTTGCTTCTACGGTGCGTGTGGAACTTGGCTCCAGGCGAAGATGGTCTTCGAGAACTTGTCAGAGCGCGACGCTGCGGCATGGAACGCTGCGATCGGTGTCTCCGGCCAGCATGGTTTCTACGACGAATCTCTCCGGCTGTTCGAGCGGATGGTGTTGGAAGGAATGGAGCCTGACGAGATCACCTTCACCAACGTTCTCTTCTCGTGTAGCCACAGTGGAGAGATCGAGCGAGCCTGGCGGTGGTTTCTCGTGATGAGAGGCGATCACGGCATGGAACCCAATGTGGAGCACTGGGGCTGCCTGGCGGATCTCTTTGGGCGATTGGGATGGATCGACGAGGCCGAGAGATTGGTGAGTTTCCTGCCAAGAACAAGAGCTTCCATCGCTTGGACGACCCTTCTCAGCGGCTGCAAAGTCCATGGCGATGTCTCCACTGCCGAGCGAGCGGCGGAGCGCGCCATGGCTGTGGATCCAAGCAAATCCTCGCCGTACGTTCTCCTCTCGCATCTCTACCGCTGCGGGCATTTGAATTTGGCGGGAGAGTTTGTAAACGGGCGGCTGGGATGCGTTTAATCGTGGCTATAGGATGGAATGGAGATCGACGGTGGGCGGGCAACCCTTGCTCAAATGGCGAAGAGAAAGCGCAAGGGCGCGGCAGCTCCTGCCAAAGGCGATGGAGGCGATGGCGGCGATGGAGGCGAGGCGGTGGAGAATGACGCAGGCGCCAGCTCCCCCCAGTGCTTGTATGAGGTAGGCGATCGGTTCTTTGCTTAGTTTCGCATTTTATGGGCTGGTGTTAGATCCTTGGGGTTGAGCGGACGGCTTCCCAGGCGGAGATCAAGAAGGCTTATCACAAGCTTGCTCTGCGATTACATCCGGACAAGAATCCGGAAGACAAGGTTTGGCTTTCAAGAAGAAGGTTCTTCCTCACTGGTTTTTTCTGTGTAGGACGCCAATGAAAAATTTCAGTCGCTCCAGAATGTTTTTGCCGTCCTGGGTGATCCTGAAAAGAGAGCTGTGTACGACGAAACTGGATCTGTTGAAGACGCTGTAAGTTCTCCATTTTTTTCTCTCTTCTCGTTTCCTTGTTTATCTTTCTACTCTTGCAGGAGTTATTGGGGGATCGTGGCAAATCACTCTATGAGTACTTTAGGACGATCTACAAGGTGTGTGGAGTTTTCTGCCATTTCTCTAGATTGGTTCTTATCAAAGATACATTAGCCTGTCACTGAAGAAGATATCGAGGCGTTTGCAGCAGCATACAGAGGCTCTGACACAGAGAAAAAAGATCTCAAGGAGTTGTACACAAAATGCAAAGGCAACATGAACCTGTACGTGAAAAGATCTCTAGATTGTATGTGCACGTACTCAGATGTGATTCTATGCAGAGTCTTTGGGATGCTCATGTGCTCAGAGCCCAAGCTTGACTCGCATCGTTTTATGGAGGTGATCGATGAAGCAATTGCTTCTGGTAAGCCTTTTTTATCTATGCGAGCTTTGAAGTCTTATCTTTTTCTCGATTCCTTCTTTCAGGGGAGTTAAAGTCGACTAACACATATCGTAAATGGGCCAAGAAGACTGCAACGCAGCCGGCTCCTGCCGATCCCTTCGAGTATGTCAGCTGTTTTTAAGTGGAAATTTACTTTTTGCCATTTTTTGTAGGAGACGGCAGAACCCCCCTGAAAACTTACTTGCAGCCATACAGTCCCGTCAAAAACGGATGGATTCACTGACTTCTGCGCTAGAGGCGAAGTATGGCGGCAAGAAGAAAGAGAAGAATGCCATGCCTCAGGAACCATCCGAGGAAGAGTTTGAAGCAGCGAGGCAGAGGCTCAAAGCCAAGGGGAAAGCAAAAAAAGCTTAGCTACAAGGTTTGCAACGTCGAGACCTCCACGGAGGGCTTTTCGTTTTGCTCGGCTCGACTTTGTGGAGGGTAGAGGATCGAGCTTGATCTTGGCGAGGTCTCAAAGTTTGGAGATCCGAGAGCGAGTATCTAGCGCCACTGGTTATAGAAGAGTAGAAGGGGATCAACTGCTCACCTCGTTCGTCTGGTGATTGATGCGTCGTGGGGAGATCATTGATCTGCTTCCTTGAAGCGGGAAGTTTGCTGCAAGTTTGTCTTCCTGTGATTTAACTAAGTATTTTGCTGGATGGATTGATTAGAGTAGAAATGCTTGTGTCTATTTAAACTATGAGTTCCTCAATCGCCCTACTATGTTGGACAAACATAGTTTCCTGAATCCAAACATCAGGTTTGGGTCACGAAATTTTTAGAATTTTGATAAAGCTACGAGGATGCGCCATCGAAGGAGAGAACGACGACAAGCGAGTACACTCACGCGCCCGGCTAGATAGCACTCGCTTTCACTCGAGCTGGATGCCCAAGACTGATTGGTCCCTGCTGGCAACCTGATCCCAGTCGAAAAGCCCTGGAAATATTTATCAAGATTCCTAAGGTAAGAGTGGGAAACTCTGATTCACCTCCAGTGCCATAAGATCTTTTTTTTCCCCCTTTATTTCTTGGACTGGTCTAAACTGGCACCAGCAGTGAAGAGAGGACTTCCAGGTGGTAGCAGTGTCACACTGTGGGCTGTACATCTGAAGGGGTTTTTTATATCTCTAGGAAGATGTAGGTGCCATACAGATGAGGATTCCCCGTTTTGGCCGTAAGTGGTGATCATACAGTTACTACATCCTTGTTGGGCAGCTTCTCAAAGAGATTCTTGGCCACCATAGTCCACTGTCCTCTACTCAAAGCGGTATCTGGCCTCCTCCCATGGCCTTGTATCATTGACGACCACATCACAACATTCCTCTCAGGCATTTACATAAACAAAGCCGAGGTCCCCATTCGCAACATAAGCTTGGATCATGGCCGTCCACGACACCACATCGCACTCCTTGATGCTCTCAAACAAAGTCTCGGCTTCTTCAAATACCCTATCCTGGCAATGTTGTAACGACGATCGTCTTGGCAGGCATCTGATAGAAACAATCCTTGGCAGCAGCGACCTTGCCACTGCAAATGCAAAGCGTGATCATCACATTCCAAGAGATCGCGTTCTTCTCTAGCGCAGATTCGCAGGTTCTCGGCATATGCCAGAGTTCCACATCGAGGCATCACGCCGGAGCATCCCATCGAACTTCCTGAGCCCGCGATCTAGATCTCTTGCCTGGATCATGGAAGAGGTTGGGATTCTCCATGGATTCGAATATTGCGCGGGTCTTCTTGTTTTCCCAGAAGTTCCTGGTGCAACATGAAAACCTTACGAGTTACATTATCCATGATTCCGGAGATCTCAGTTTTTCCAGCAGCGGCCATTGCGCCAGCTCCAGCCGCTCTGGCATCGGTGGCAACTTCCGCCATACCAATACCAACTCTTCGGGCAGCGGTGACAGCCATTGTCATACTAGTACCACCCTCTCTGGCAGCGCTGGGCAGCAACCTTTGCGATTCCTCCCACGTCCACTCCCATGGCCAGCATCATCACAAATATGGCAACAAGCCCAAGGGAAACCAGCTGAGTCTTGCTCATCGCCATTGAACACACTGCTACTGCAAGTTAAAAAAGAAAAAAGCCAAATCAGAACTCTAGAGAGCTTCGAAGATCTCTGTCTGACCTTTGAGGACTGGCACTGGATAGAAGAGGGAGTGTAGAAACCTCTCTTGAGAGGGGTATATATACTCGGACCGAAGTTTCCGTGTGTATTTTTTGTTGGATAACAATGTGTCTCGGTTGACGCGCGCCGTTTGGAATAGACTTGGTCTTGGGAAGGAGGAATCGTTGACAAATTGGTTCCGAATTGATACACTTGCAAGAGGACAATAATGAAATTCTATTTCGTTAAAGTGGGAATTGTCATTATCCCACTTGTAAAATAAGGTTTCCAAACCTTTATATAGTATATAAATATAACAAAATTCAACTGCATTGAGGCACATGCCATTTTATTTTAAACAAGGAAATGTCTACTCAATCACTTCTCACTGCTGTATTAGAGAAGAGATGGCATTACTATTGGGTTTAAATCCTGATAGTGTGGAGAGTGATGAAATTCCAAGATTATTGTATAGCCGTTGGAGGCAAAAAATAACAGTCTAAGATGGCATGTATTTATTTAAAAATGTAACTTATTATAGCATGGGGTTCCATGCCATTGTATTAATATTAAAAGACAATTCTTTGAGAGGATTTGCATTATACTAGAAGTGTTACAGCATGTTATTGGAAGTCTACGAAGTTGTTTTATTAATAAGGGGAAAGTAAAGATTGAATGGGGACTTGGGCTCCACCTAGACTCGGAGCAACTGAGCCAATATTAAAAGGATGGAAAGAAATTGAACGACGATGACAAGGAGAACCACGCTCATGTTCAGTGGTCGAAGAACCCATCCGGTTGAGCAGATTATGGAGATGCGGATAGTGCTTGGCTAGACAATATACATGCCATAAATGATGACTGGTGTCTGTCCGATCAAATGGCTTCTGATATACCGTTCCATCTGCCATTTGGTTGATTTCTGCAGCCACCTCCTGGACTGGCCGGTTCTCTATCACCATCGCTTCAAGCCGTTTTGCAAGGTCCCCCAGAACATACGGTTTCTTCTCCCTAGTTTCCATACTGCAAGAGATGGGGTGCACTGCATATGTGTGCGTGTTCGCTGCAGTTTTAATCGGCGAGTCATCGATGATGAGGATTTCACTTGACCTAGCAGTCCGGTTCATCACTACAGCCTCTGCCTTGACGAAGATGGGCTTGCTACCCCTCACATGGACCATAGTCAAGCAATCCTCCTGCGTTAGGAGAAAGTCAAATGGTAATATTACTCGCGTCTGATCGTGCATCATCTGTAGCAACGTTAATGCATTGTGGCGCATCATGGATGTCCAAACTCCCAATTGCAAATTGAACCCGGCCCTCTGTTTTAAGTGTCGCATGGTCATTATTAGATCCCGCAGTTTCTCCCGTGTGATTAATGTGAATCTGTCTCTTTTGACCAACTTGCGACCGCAGGCTTTGGAGGGTGCAGTGACATTTGAGGACGAGCCACGCTCATGGGAGAAAAGGACACCGTTCAGATCAAAAACGATACAGTACTTTCGCCGTGACTCTGAAATGAAATGCGTCAGCATAAAAAATGGTACAAGTCAATTTTACCATCTACAATATTAGCGAATGGTGCTCCCGATGGTCGTTCAGAGGGTTTTGGTCGAGGAAATGTGAAGAGCGGAAATACTCTCCTCTGCAATGTGGGGTCAATCGCATCCGATGGCGTGTGGGCACATGCCATTTCAGCTGTAGACTCTGGTACAACTGGCTCAACAGTGGCATGGGGTGGTTCCGATGGCGTGTGATCACACGCCATTTCAGCTGGTGCCTCCGTTGGCAAAGTGGACATGACCGAACAGGCAGCAGGGGCGGTGTAGGGAGGTTCCAACGGCGCGTAGTCAGACGATTGGGCACACGTTGGAAATGAGGATACGACCGGCTTGGCGGCTGGGGCGGCCTCATGCGGGTCCAATGGCGCCTGGTCACCGTCAGTTGGATACGTGGACAAGATTGACTCAGTGGTATGGGCAGCATCAAGTGGAGCGTGGTCAGCTTGCTTGGCGTTGATATGGATAGTAGCCTTCACCAGCTCTGATGACTCTTGCAGGCAAGTAGAGTCCACTGGCGGATCCATATGCATGTCCAAATATCTCCCTTCGATTGAGATGGTATCCTCCCGTGCTACTAAAAACAAACTCATTAGCACATTGAATCGACTATACTGTATTTACCATCAACTGCTATTGAGGAGCTAGGACCGATATCACTTGGGCGCACTGCTGATTTTGAAGGATTGGACATACGTTTCGACCCTTGCTTGGCACTATCCTTCCTCGACACTAAAGGCTAGAGTTTGTATCTTAATTCAACTGAATAATCTCTACTTACCATTTCTTCTGCGACCTACATGGACAATGTTAGAAATGGTAAAAGGTTAGGAATGGATGTACTATTATTTACCTGATGGTTTGTCTTGTATGACCTTCCTTCGCTGCTCTTTGGCCACCTCAGGCTGGCCATCGTCGTCATCATCATCATCGTCGTTATTGTGATCGTCACCATTGTGAGGACCATCCAAGTCCTCTTCGTCCTCCTCTTCTTCATCCTCCTCTTCTTCGTCCTCCTCTTCTTTGTCCTCCTCTTCGTCCTTCTGCTCTTCCTGCTCATTATCTTTCTCTGGCTCCTCATCCCCCTCTTGCATTTCTTCCATAGGCTGCTCAGGCTGGATGGCTTGTTTTTCCAGGACCATCTTGGGAAAATCATCTGGCCAAGTCTCCATCTCAAAATACAAGACATCCATAGCCTGTTTTAGTGCGTGACCTAGGACCGTATCCTCACCCGACTGTCTTAACATGGTTTCTGCACGTTCTTGCACCCTTCGAAGACAACGAGATGAGAAAAACGTGGCCCTGACTTGAAAAGCATCCCTCATCCATTGTACCTCTCCATTGAGATTGGGGAAGGGGAGTCCGCCATAGGAATCTGAGTTAGAAGGTGGTGACTGGCTCCTTTCACTCAGCCCTTGATCTGCAATGAATGGCATGAGCACACACGCCATAACCGCGAGGCATTACCTATCATCTTTTCGTTGCCCTTCTTCCTTTTCGAATCAAACGCCTCTGATCCCGACGACTGTCCAACGTGCTTTCGCTTTTTATGACCACTGTCAGTTTGAGCTTGGCTGGTGCTTGCCTGTTTTGCCTTTGAAGAAGTGTCTCCTGCAAGGAATGGCATGAGACCACACGCCATTGCAAATATAATTTGTACCTCCTTTTTTCCTATTGCTTGTCTGTTTGTCCTTCTTCGACGCGCCACCAGTGCGCTTTTCAGTCCTCGTGTCTGAATATTCACAACGATCTATAATCAAAATGGCGTGAGGCCTCACGTGACCTTACCTTGTGCAGGTTGTGACCTCGGCCTAACATCAGTAGCTGTTAACGCCGTTTCAGCATCTGGGGGTGGCCACGCTCCTGCATACAGAGCTTGTGAGATAACATTTAAACTTAAAGTGCGTACTCACCAGGTTCGTAGAGAAGATACTATTTTTCTTTGGCAACTGTAATTATATGCTCCATTGAAGTCACCTCTTCAATGGAGTTTGTC